CCATGCCTTACGCCGCCCTTGGTCATAGAAATGATGTAATTTGAATATAAATTATTTATAAATACGTATGTCAAGTTATATTTTTATTACTACGTAAAATATATTAAGAGTTTACGACCACTGTGCTGGGTGAGACGTTGATGAAACAAAAAAAGTTATGCATTCCATCACGTACATAAACAGTGTCGTAATTCGCCAAGTGCAAATCAGCAAAGTCGTAAAATTTTTGTTTATTTTGAACAATCCGGATAATCGAAAATCCGGATAATGGAGGTCCGGATAATGGAGGTTCTACTGTATAATATTTTGTTTACTATTTTAAATATTTGTTAGATAATACCATTTTACACAAGAAAGTATTATTTTATGAAACTTTAACACACTATTTTTCTGTAAAAACAAAATTTATTAACATTAATTTCAGTATTAGTAAATTATCATTCAAAAATTTATTAACAGGTTTATGTTATCAAATCCAAACTGTTATGATATCTAAATCTTAATTTCTGAAATTATTATTGTTGAGAATTATAACAAGACTATAATGAATGGTAATAATTTTTTAATTAATTAAAAAATCCTATTAAAAATACTATTGTCACAATGATGATCAAATATTTATACAGTAAAAAATTAATTACCAAAAATATGCAAAAATACATTTCCTACACCAGAAATCACAAACTGGTGACCCATGGGCTGGATATGGTCTGTTAAGGCTTCATATCCAGCCTGCAGTCTTGATGATTTCTTTTCTATAAATGAATATCTTATGGGAATTAAAACAGAAAAATTTCAAACTTCTGTTTTATGTAAGTCTTGTCTTATGTACTTTATGTAAGTTTATGTACTTTTGTCACCAAGCTTTATGGCAAGCTTTATGGCTCAGCAAAAGGGCCTTTTTTTAAAAATAGTTTACACTATGTTTTGGTTTACTGAATAATAATGAATACGGCCAGCATCTGATATACATCTATTTGACTGATCCTTCGCTGTGTTTGAGTTTGAGATCCCTGCTCTTCACTATAAAATGAAGTAGATTTCAATAATCTTTACTTTAATTAAAGTTAGAAGTAAAGCTGAAATTTGTAAGTTTTTCAACAAACATGTAACAATCTAATTTTGCATTCATAACATATGAAATTGTTTACCAAGTACAGTAAATCTGCTATAGTTTAAAATAATTTAATTTTACAAGATAATATTGCTAAAATAGTCATAAATATAATGTATCATCCCAAACACAAAGAATGATAAAAAATATTATAAATAAATATTAAAAAACACAAAAAATAATGAGCTGATAAGAAAGAAAATGAACCAATTAGATGATATTTAAAATAGGTTATATATTAGAAATCCTTTTCTTTCTTTCCCCAATATCTTTATTCAAAGTTAATCTAGTTAATTTAAACATATTTAATTTTAATTTAGTACTTATCTACTTAAATTTTTTTGTTTCTTGAAATTTTGTAAAAAGTTTTATTTTATTTTTTCAATGAAAATTAGTAAATAGCAAAAATTGAATTTATGTTTTTCTAACTTCTTACTAATCAATGGCCAATTTTTAAAATGCAATAAAGATTTTATTTAAAAAAAATGAGATTTGATCCTGGAATTCTCATGATTTATTAGTCTATTTCCTGCTTTCCTGGAAATGACAATTACCAGGAAATTGAACAACCCTAGTTTGGCCAAGCCCATAATGCAGTGATCACATGGTGAGTAATAGGGGCTTGACCATCCATGAAAAATTCCTGAAGTTGCTAACCCAGATTCAATCCTGGATTCCCACAGAAATAAAAGCTGATGTCTTAACTACCTTGGACATCCAGCCATCAATATTTTAAATTATAAAAGCAAGGTTTTGAAAACATTGTATGCAAATTTTATAAACTTAAGAATTATAGTCAAATTTTTATTGTATTTTGTCCAATTGTACCCAGCAAAATTTTTACTGTAAAAAATTTTTGCTAAGTTACAAGTAAATAGGGAAAATAAGCAAATAAATATTTTTTAGATAAAATTTATTAATATAAAACAAAATTTCTCAGAATACAAAATTAGAACTTTAACAAAGTGGAAGTAGATTTCATCTTAGTATATTTTGTATAGATGGATGGATAGATATCTACAAAGATTTGGTTCTGTTCCTGTTAATTCTAACAAAAATTAATATTAGCAAACATGTGTCCATATTTTCCTCATCGTGTGATGTTTTTTTCTTTGAAAAGGTTTGAATAACCATGTAAATACCTTTATAGTTAGGTACTCATTTCTGCATGCAAATTAAGATGACAACATTCAACTTGAACATAGTTTTTTGTTTATTTTTTGTCTATCTGTGACAGTTCTTCTTTGCTTAGGTGCCATTTTATTCAAAAGAAATGATGTCAGTCTTTCTGAACAAAATTTAATTTGCAATAATATTTATGTTAATAACAAAATTAAAAAAAGAGTCAGTAATTAATAAGAATGAAAAAATAATTAGAAATGAATAAAAGAATGTAAACTCAAGAAGTTATTCTTAAAAGTATTTTTATCCTGAACGGTAGATTCAATAGTTGGAATGGCAGAGGAGTGTCGTGTCCCTGTGGCAAGAGCAAAATTGGGTACATTTTTACTTCTAATTACAGTGGTGCTTGTACTTCGAACAACTCTAACTTTGAATGCTTCAGAGTTTGAACAAAACATTTGACAAAAATTGCTTGAGTTTGAACTGTGTGTGTAATGAAAAATGCACTCAAAGCCTAAAATAAACTTCTGAATGAAGAATACAATCTCAAATTAGCAATAATATATTAAAATGCATTATTGTTATAATTAAATCACACATTTATGTTAAGTAATGACAATTGTTAAAAATATGCAAAAACATTCTGTTCAACCCAATATAACCTTTACTGATTAACCATGGCATCTGAGAAGAGTAAAAAGCATCAAAGTCTAACTAGTAAGAGGAAGACTTGAAAAAGGCTAAAATGAAAAAGAAACTTGTCACAAAGTGTGAAAGCAATACATGTATGATTTGGAGTTCAAATGGCCTCCTGGAATGAATTAAATTTGAAGTTTGAGGCACCACTACACTTTAAATTAATTAAACAGTAAAATTGATGCAAAAGAACTCATCTACATTAAATAAGCTTCAAGATGATGTATAAAACATAAAAGTGATTCATACACAAAGTATCTTAAACTGTAATAAATTTGTAATATATTTCACCTTAGCATTTTCTAAACATAAAAGGTCTGTATGAAAAGTTTGCAAACTTTTTACATTATACACCAATCAAGAACCGAATCTGAATGCTGTTTGCACAGTTCTCTAGCAGCAAGTTGTGTGTACTATCTGCCAAAAGCAGTTTGTTGTATCTTCATTTGTTATGTTATGTTATGTTAATTTGTGTAAACATGTGTTGAATGTGTTTTTCAATTTTCTTTCAGTTAGTATGAGTGAAGAACTTCTGGGACAGGCTAGGTTTGATGAAAATTTCATTAAAAAAATATCACTGGGGATAAGAAATGGAAACAAAACATCAGTCATCACAGTGGGTGGAAAAATCTTCATCATGACCCGAAAAGGTGTGACAAGTTCGGTCAAATGTGAAGGTCTTGCTTACTGTTTTGATGAATTCCAAAGGAAATGTTCACTGTAAATTTCTTCCAGAAGGGAAGATAATCAACAAGGAATACTATCTGGAGGTGATGAAACATCATGAAGATAAGAAGAAGAAAGGCCCAACTGCTTAGAGAACACCATTGTAACAATGCAACCATTCACTCATCACTGCTTATAAGAGTTTATGGCCAAGAATTTGACATCACTTGTTCCCTAACTTCCATATTTATCAGATTTAGATCCAGCAAACTTCTTTTTCTTTTCTAAATTAAAATCTGCTTTCAAAAGTCATAATTTTGAATTCATTAATGCAATTAAGGAAAATTTGCTAGCGGATCTGTGCATCATCCCAAAAGCAGCATTCCTTTTGTGGCAGAAACACAAGATTTGGTGCAAATACTCAGGAGGAGACTACTTCAAAGGTGACAAAACTGACTAGCTAAGTGCAAACAACTTCTATTTGCAAAGTTTGTGGACTTTTCAGACAGACCTTGTATGGATTATGGATGTAATAGATTTGGAAGTTGCTGGAAGTGAAGGGACAAAACCATTGTCATCAAGGATAATGTTTACATTCTTCTGTTTCCAACATTACCAGAATTGAAACAGTGCATCACATCACTATCGGAAATGTCACATAAGACATGCTTGAGAGGTTTGGTGAGAATGGGAATACCATCTGGACATCTGTCATGCCACATATCAAAATGCATTTAAGGTCAGTACAAAACTATAAATGTACTATAAACACTTTCAAATGGTAGTAATATCATACATTTCTGTTCAATATTAGTGAAAATATATTCTTACGAAATTGTCCAATAATTTGTGCACATCCTGTGTATATAAATAAGCAATATACAAACTTTATATATAAGTAATATTTACATTTTTAGATCTAAAATTTATACAAGTAATACCTCGACTTACGCTACCCCAACTTATGCGAACCCGGAGTTACGTGATTTTCAAATCTCGTTGATTTGTCTTTTGTTTGAGTGCCATGCAACTCTTGATTACTCACTCCCCCCACACTATTGTTCAGCTTACATGTTCGGACATGTTGTGCAGAATTGACACATAGCTACAATTTATTTCATGTTCGGTGTTTGTTATATCTACAGAGATTTGAGAGACTCTATGGGGTGATTTCTTGTAACCGTGAACGAATCAAAAGATGAGATAAGATTAATGAGAACATTTATTAGCTTACATACATCCAACTTGGATTTTACACAAATTGTGAAATTACACCGCAACTTACACGGTTATCACTTGGTTCCACCTATTGCATAAGTTCGGGGTATTACTGTTTAAAGAATATTTGTAATCAAAAAGTGCATATATTTGTTGTTATTAAACTTTACTTACCACACTCAAGGAGCATAGGTTGGAAAGCAATAAATTTTCTTCTAATATAGAATACTCATCAATAAATGGTCTGTATGAGGCATAGAGGGACTGGGCTAATGTGGCAACATTATCACTTTTTAAATGATCTATATAAAAAAAATAATTTAAATAGTACAAATCAATTACTTTAACCACTTAGCAATGAGGGACGTATATATACATCTAGGGCGATCATGTGACAGTGGTGAGGGATGTATATATACATCAAATTCTTTTAAGGGTATTGCCAAAAACTAGCCAGAAACTACCGTGAAAAAAAATTCACATAAAAAACGAATTATGTAACAATAAAAAAAGACTTTTCTTTACTAGACATAACTGTTTACAAAATCTTTTTCCGAAACAGTAATGAGAAAAAACGTATGGAAAAATACTCTAAAAATTTTGCATGTTTATTCTCCACTACTAAGGGGTAGCACCATATCTGACTATTCCACTGTTGAAAGGTTAATTTATTAAAAGAAACATAAACAAACAAACATTTTTATTTTTTGTTATCAATGAAATGAAACAACCTATTCAAAAAAATCTTTAGATAGGGTTTGATTGTTAAGATCCAGAAAACCAACTTCATTTTAAATAAAAATGTCACATATCATAAAATTGAATTGGATTGGTGAAATAAGACAATGCAACACATGGGCAATCTTCCCAGAAGTGCCTTCTGGGGGACTTCTATGGGAAAAGTCTATTTATTGTGATATTGTCATAATGACAAGCTGCAATTTTTAATCATATTTTAATTTATAAATATAACTTTTAACACTAAATCTGTAATTACTTTCCTCTGTAATAACAGTATTTTTTACAAGATTTTTATCAAAGAAAATGTAAGATCAGATGAATACTGTGCACATGAATGCTGAGTTGAGTGATATATTACTGATCTCAGTTTATTATAAGGATCAATTTTATACCAAATTTATAACTCTACGTAGTAAGGTAAAAATATTGAATTGAAATAATACGACTTCTGGTCCAGACCAGAAGATCATATACAGTTGCTTGGAGCCTCCAGCTCCTAAGCTTTCCACATCTGATCTCAATTTTCATCTATCTAACTCATTTAGACATGAAGAAAACTCAGAAAATTCCTTGTAGCTGGCCCACAACCGATAAACAGTATTCATTGATTTTATCCACTCAGTCACTAGTGAGCATTATAAAATTGAATAAATAATAAATTTTTTAAATGCAATAAATGAGAAAATATATTTAGATATAAAACTATAAAGTAATATTTTCCAAATATATAATTCATATGTTCAAAATCTACAAACTTGAAAAAATACATCAATAAGAAAATATGATAAAGTGTATTTCATATACCAATTATTTAATGAATATTTAAAGTAAAAAAACAAATCAATAAACTATATTTGATTTTAAATAGCAAAATATAGTACATAAATTAAATATTACATTAATTTGAAATAAAAACTTAAATTTTTCTAATAATTACACATTATTATTATTATGTAAATGATATTAACTTACCTGAACTAATACCCTGAATTGCAACTTCTAAACTCTTCGCAAATCTATCTACAGTCTGTAAGTTATTAAATTTTAAAGCAAATGTTTTCAATTAAAATACATTACTTTCAATTAAAATGAGATATAAACCTGTTTAAGATCAATTAAATAAAGAAGAGGAGAAGAATGTTCTTTGAAAGCAGTTTCTATACATGATGAAAGTGATGGATCAAGACTCGAGAGAACATCCACAATTAATTCACATAATATCTGTACAGTTGGCAGATCCAAAAATACTTGGCTGCACCAATTCATCTATATATTAAATTTAAAGTAAATAAAATCTTCTAAAACATATTTAAAAATAAAGAAATGTTTTCAAATGGTACCTGTGAATGCCATGTTGAAAGTAAAATGTCATGAAAATTACTTATCCAATCACTAAATGTTTCTTCAGGATCAGATTCTACTATCAACCGCCATTGTTCTAACAACTGATTCTGTTATTAAATAATTTATTTTTATTTTATTTATTTATATATTTTGTATTTTAGAATATTTAAGAAATATGCTATATAATAGAATCATTATTAAGTATATAACTTTTTTATCTATCATAATAAATTACCAAGAAATACCTTTTGACAATTGTGATAGTATTTTTGAAGTTGTGGAAGTCTCTTAATATCAAGAAAAATTTTTACATACATCTGTGACAATTCTGAAATTAAAAAGATTATTTCTATCATTATATATTGTATTATTTTCATGATAAATATTTTAATATAAAATAAGATTTTTTTTTATCTGTTGTATAATTTGAAATATGATAAAATTTTCAAATTTTTATAATATTTAATAAATTTACAAACATTTTTTTCTCTTCTGTTTATTTTATTATTTCCTCAGAGAGTATTAAAGTATTATTTTCTATATACAATAATACTATAATATTCTCTGAGAAAATACCACAATAATGATATTTGACAACTCATCCAATATTTTAATTAAATTTCTTATGACTGCTGTTAATATATGAATATTACAAGGTCTCTGTAAGTCCAACATACAGCTGTTAGCTAATGACTAGAAGTCATTAGCTAACAGCTGTGTGTTGGTCTACCGCTAACCTCAAAATTTATATTTTTCGTGCGGACTTACAGAGACCTTGTAATATTCATCCAATATTTTTAAATATGTTTTAATATGTTTTAATACTCACAGTTTAATAGCAAACTATTGCAGTAATTACAATTTTATATGATATTGTTCTACAAAACTCAAAAATGCATATCTTTTCAGCTGACTTTAGGATTAAATCTTAAATTTTATAATTATTATTAGCTACAATTTTTATAAACATTTTAACAATTTTATTATTATTATTCCTATATTATATACAGTCGACCCCCCTATAAGATAGAGATACGTTCCATTCTCTAGGAATCCGCTTTCTTACGAATCCTTCCAATCACAACCCGACACGTGTGAAGTTTACGGACTACGGCTGTTTGAAAGATTTTCTTCCATAAAATTAATCGATTCTAGACTAATCCGACTCAACATTTCCAAAATACGTATATATTTTTTGGGAATAATCCGTATAAACTACGCTATAAACAAAAAATTGTAGGATTACTTACCGAGTGTCACCATTCGACATTGCCATTGCTCAACATTGTTTTCGTCGCGGAACAGCTCA